AACGTTTCTCTTCCTCCTCTTCCGCCTCCTCCTCCTCTTGAGCCAAACAAGCAAACCCTTCGAGACATCACCGCCATCTGGGCGCGAACGGGCCCGTGCAGTACCCCCTGGCGCCAACGCTAGGGGTGATGAAGCCAGCACCGCGCTCGCGACATCCTCGCAACCTGCTCCGCCCTGGGCAGAGGAGTCTGCACTACCAAACGGGCAAGCCGCTCAAGCCATCCCCATGCGATGTGCGCGAATGGGCCCGGGCATACACACATCCTCACGATCTGCTTGGAAAGCAACGGAGCCTGGGCCACCAAACAGGCAAACCGCTGAAGGCAGCCCTACACTCCGAGCGCGGACGGGCCCGTGCAAATATATACCCTGGGGGCTACCCCCTGGGCGTGCTGAAGCCAGCCTGGCTCTAGACAACCGCACCACCTGCCCAGGGAGCAAGGGGGTCTGGGCCACCAAGAAGGCAAACCGCTGCAGACATGCCTACAATCTGGGCGCGGACGGGCCCGTGCAAGCACCTTGGCCGTTCCCACGTGGGAGTGCTGGCAAGAGCGCCTCGCTCGAGACATCCTCACAGTCTGTTTTGAAAGCAGAGGAGTACGGGCCACCAAACAGGCGCGATCTCTGCTGGAGACAACCCCCCGATCTGGGCGCGAGCATGCCCGTGCAAGCACCTTGGCCACTCCCAAGTGGGAGTGCTGGCAAGAGCGCCTCGCTCGAGACGCCCTCACACAATTTGCTTGGAGTGCAAAGGCGTCCGGGCTACCAACGAGAGGCAAGCCGCGCGAGACATCCCCGCGATCTGGGCGCGAGCCTGCCCGTGCAGAGACCCTGGCAATTCCCTTTTGGGGAGTGCTGGCAAAAGCGCCTCGCTCGAGACATCCTCACGATCTGTTGTGCAAGCCTAGGAGTCTGGGCCACCAAACGGGCAAACCGCTGGAGACATCCCTACAATCTGAGCGCGAACGGACGAGACATCCTTACAATCTGCGAGTCGGAGTGCTAGTGCGTCGATAGAGATCGAGAGAGTCTGAGGGTGAGCGAATTTGTGTATGAGGGAGTCTCAGTATAGAGTGCGTCTGAGTATGAGTGGGTATGAGTATACGAGAGTCTGAGTGTGAGGGGTTCTGACTATGAGTCTGAGTGTGAGTTGGGTCTGCGTAGGAGGGAATATGAGTGTAAGTGACTGGTGTTACTTGCGAAATCGCGGGTCTGAGTATGAATGTGTCGGTGTAGGGGTGAGTCTGAGTGTGACTCTGGGCATCAGTGAGTCTGAGCGCATGAGTCAGTCTGAGTGTGATGAGTGCGTCCGGCAGAAGCAGAGGAGGAGGTGGAGGAGGGAGAAGAGGATGGAAGGTCGGAGGCGTCTGAGTAATAACAAGAACCCAATCTCAAGATATGGGGGCAACACACACACACACACCGTCGGGTGCTTCTGCACCATGTCGGGCCAAGAGACTTTCTCGCACCGACTGGACTCGGGGAGTGAGGCAGAACGGTTGGGTCGGGCGTTCTAGCTGTGAATCCCCGCACCCACCCCACGACGCCCAAAGTTGTTCACGACGCCGGGTCGCAGGGGAGGGAGGAGGAGGAGATGGAGTGGTGTCGCTGTTGCTTCTGCCTTTCTGGGGCCTCCCAGCGGGGGGTGTGCTCGTCGACGGGGCTGGGCTCGCGCCCAGATTCTGGTCGGAACGCGGCTTCGGGCCATGACTGGGGGCCAACTTGGGGGGGGAGCGTCCCAGGCAGTCATACCGCACAGACGCACAGACACAAACACAGACACACACACACAGACACAGACACACACCCACACCCACACCCACACCCACACCCACACCCACACCCACACCCACACCCGCACGCACGCACGCACGCACGCACGCACGCACGCACGCACAAACACACAGCCCACAGACACACAGACACACAGACACACAGACACAGACACACAGACACACAGACACACAGACACACAGGCACACAGACACACAGACACACAGACACACAGACACACAGACATACAGACAGACAGACAGACAGACAGACAGACAGACAGACAGGCAGACAGACAGACAGACAGACAGACAGACAGACAGACAGACAGACAGACAGACAGGCAGACACACACACACACACACACGTGCCTGGTGGTGGTGTCGACGTCCGGGGTGCCCGTTTCAGGCCACGCACCCCGCAGGCAGAAACGACGGGCGGGCAATTACTAAGAACCTTGTTTGTTCTGCAAGAAATGTTCGTAGAGCATTTCTTGCTGGGACTGTCTTGTTTTATGTTCTAAGAACATTGTTTTTGTTTTTCGAACAGTTTGGGGTTCTATGAATATTTTGCGGTCGGTCCATAGGAATGCTGGGACGGTCGGTCCCTGCTCAATGGGAGGGGTCCCGAGCTTCTGAGCCCGCGCCGCGGAAAAAGAGCAAGCACTTCTGCCCGCAGCGACAGGAGGCTCGCCGCGCGGTCGGAGCCACGGCGGGCTGTGCGAGTGGGAGGAGGGGAGAAGGAAGCGAGGGAGGCAGTGAACGTCGTCCAGAGCGTTTTTTGTATTTATATATATATAATATAGAAAACAACGCGTCGTCGGAGATCAGGCGCCGCCATCTTACCCCCATCCGGGCCTCTCCTGAGGAGCCCCTGCCTGCTCTGTGCAGCAGAGGCCCGCGGCCTCTGTAGCTCGAGCTGCGCGGCTGGCTCCCTGGCACTCCGGCTTCTTTGGCTTATCGTGCACGTTCAGGGTGTGCTCGACCACTGCGGTCAGCGTTGGCATGCCCTGGAATTCTCCTTACGTGAAGAGAGTACCGCGAACATTGTTTGGCCGTCCTTTGCCCCAGTGAGTTCTTGCGGGCCTCGGGACCGTCAAGAACGACTCAGGATGAAAAGTTGATCCCTGCCAACGGATAGGGGAGCCACGTTGGGAACAAATCAGGACGTCAGATGCCTGAGCAAGTATCTGGTGGTCTTCAGCCTATCCTGCCACCGCGCCTGGGTTGTAGGCCAGACTCTTCTTGAATGCCTCTTGGGGTCTCTTAGGGTGTCTCATGGTGGCCTCTTGGAGGCCCCCTGGGGCCTGTTGGGCGCATCTTGGGAGGGCATAGCGGACCGTCTCGGTTTTTCCAGAAGCACGAAAAGGCGGACACCATACAAGCACAACAAGGATTTTGTTTTATCTTTCGCTTATGGAGGCCTTCTTGGAGGTCCTCTTGGGGCCTTCTTGGGGCGTCGTTGGGGCCTCTTAGGCCGTCTAGAGGCCATCTCGGATATCTTGAACGCCTCTCCAGCGTGTTCGAGCCATTAGCGAGACATCCTGGAAGTCATCTTGGGCGTCTTGGATGCCACGGCGGGTGGATTTGGAGGCTCCGAGGGCCCTGGGGGGTGCGTTGGCGAGCTCGTGCTCCCCCACTGGACTCCGGACCTCTGTGGAGGGTGAACCGTGGGGAGAGGGCAGCCAATCATCTCACACGCCTTCTCGCCCCTGGCAAGGTGGGGTCGGCGTACATGCTGTTGTGCATTCGCTCTGCCCTTCTGCGTTTGCTGTCCTGCTAGTTTCTTGGTGTGCTCCGCGCGTTTTCCTCACATAGTGATGTTGACTTCATGCGGGTATGGCGTTCCACTGTTGTTTGTGTGCAAGGCCTGGTCAAGGACGTGTTCTTTTGTGTTCCTTCAGCGTTCTGTGTATTCCGATGCTTGGTGTAATGGTGCTGTCATTGAGTCATGTTCGATACGTGGCCATAACATGTCATGTGGATGTGTTGGTTGTGCATGGCTTCCCTGAGTGCATGTTGCTCAGATTGCTTTGTTCACCCGCGTTCTCTGTGGTGAGTGGAATGTCTCCTTTGGAGCACTCCCCACATGATTACCCGTACTGAGGGTCGGCACGCTTCCTCTGCCTGCCAGCACAAAGGTCGCGCGGTCGGTGGCAGTCATGAGCGGTGAGGAGGTCTCGAGCGAAGCGCCTGGCCAGCGCTACTGGCACGTCGTGGGAGGGTACCCACGAGATAAAGGAGGGGGTGCCCACGAGATAGAGGAGGGTACAGGCGACGAGGAGGGGGTACCCACGTCGGAGGAGGGGGTACCCACGTCGGAGGAGGGTACAGGCGACGAGGAGGGGGTACCCACGAGATAGAGGGATGGAGGAGCAGAGCCCCCTGGGTGCCTTTGCGAAGGGCGTCCAGCGGGGACGCCCCCCGCTCCCCTGCCTGCCTGCCTGCCATCCTGTCTGCCCGCCCCCTCCTTTTCCCCCCTTTTTCCTCCTCCCCCTCGTCCTCATCTTCCCCGAAGCCAGACATGTGTAGTTCCCGATGGTATTTTGCATCATCTGGGCGTCGAGGTCCCCAGGAGGGCCCCACCACACAGACCAAGACTGCCCTCACACGGCTCAGTAGTCAATAATCTGCTCCTCGCCCACCTCCTCTTCGCTCCCGTGGTGGAAGGGCGGGGCACCTGTCAGTTGGGGCATGGTGAGGAGAGCCGCGTGGGTCCTCCCTCGGGAGATCCAACGGGGACTGCCTGCCAGCCTACCTGCCTCCGACCCTTCCCGCCCTCCTCCTCCTCCTCCCCCTCCTCCTCCTCCTCCACCACCTCCTCCCCCTTGGTCCTCACCTTCCTCCTCGTTTGCCTTCCCCCCCGTGCCCCTCGTCTTCTCCTTCTTCTACTCCTCCTCCTCCTCCTCCTCCTCCTCCTCCTCCTCCTCCTCCTCCTCTTCCTCCTCGTTCTCCTCCTCCCTCTCCTCCTCCTCCTCCTCCTCCTCCTCCTCCTCCTCCTCCTCCTCCGCCTCCGCCTCCTCCTCCTCCTCCTCCTCCTCCTCCTCCTCCTCCTCCTCCTCCTCCTCTCCTCCTCTCCTCCTCCTCCTCCTCCTCCTCCTCCTCCTCCTCCTCCTCCTCCTCCTCCTCCCTCCCGCGCGGGATGGCGGGGCACGTGCGTAGGCAGGGCACCGCACCGCCTCCTCCGCCCCCTTGCGGCCCGCGATCTCCACGCGCACCCACCCGCAGGACAAGACGTACGCTGGGAACCCTCCCGGGCGCCTCACGGACACCGTTTTCTTTCCTTTCAGGAGGGGGGGGACCGTGGAGATGGATGGGGACCTTGGCGTCCCCGCGTTGTGACAGAATCATGACGCGCAGTTTTTTGCCAGCTTCGGTGGTCTCCAGGGACCCTCACCAGGCCCATGGACCGTCCAAAAACGACGCAGGATGAAAAGCTGGTCCCAGGGAAGAGGTCCAGACCATAGGGAGAGCTTCGTTGTGAAAGAATCACGACGTCGGATGATTGGGGTGGACGGGAACGAGGATGAGGAGATGTTGGTGGACCCAGACTTCCACAATTCGGTCCGAGCAGATGGGGTCGGAGGATTGCGCCACGTCACAGGTGCATCGGCGATGCGGCTCGATGGCGATCCCGAGTATCTTCATCCCGATGTCGCCAGTGCGTCGGCGATGCGGCGTGATCCTCGGACCTCATCTGCCCCGACTCAATGTGGGAGGCTTCCAGTGTGAAGGGGATCGGGAGCTTTCTCTCGGAGCGCTTCTTCGGACATTTTTTTTTTCAGGTGGGTGGGGGCGGGTCACGTGCCGCACGCAGCCCTCCGCTTTCCCCTCTGGGCCCCTCGTCTGATCGACCGGTCCTGGGGCAGCCTCGGGTGACATCAATGCACAGCGGCAGCCCTCAGATCGGGGGCGGCGGGGTGCGTAGACATCATGGCCGGGGCCGTGACATCTCCCGGATGTCATGGCCCGCTCTCCGTCTTTCGACACGTCCCCGAGACCCATTATGTTGCGCCCGCGTTGTTCCCCACACAGTGTTCGCACTTAGGGGCTCTTGCTTTTGTCACTAAGGAATTTGATGGGTCACGCGAGTACTTTCCACGTTGCCGTCCGTGCCCGCCTCGTGGCCGCCTCGTGCGCTGGATGGGTCTGGCAGGGTTTCGCGCCGCCCGCAGTCGCCGTGTGCGCTGGGTCGATCCAGCGAGGTTTGAATGATGTGCGCAGCTTAGATTGCACAACATAGCGTGCACCAGACCGCTTCCACCACACATTCTTGCATCGCATAGCTTGCGACACGTAGGTCGTACCACGTCGATTGCACCTCGTAGCTTCCACCACACAGCCTGCAACACACGGCTTTTGCACCACATAGCTTGCGACACGTAGCCTGCGACACGTAGCTTGCACCACGCAGGTAGCACCACATAGCTTGCACCACATAGCCTGCACCACATTGCTGCGCTCACTGTCCGGAGTCCACGCTGGCTAACACTCTGGCGGAAACACTCTTTCAACACGTCTCCTGGCCACCCCCCCTAGTCCGGCCACATCCCTCGGGCCATGATGCGCCCTCTGCTTCCTGGCCCCCCTCCTCTCCCTCCTTCGGCACACCCGAGCGCTACATGAGGTGTTCCTGTGTCTGTGGGCTCCGACTGGGTGGCGCTGGGGCCCTTTTCCGAAGAGGCCGTGGCCCGATTGCCACTTACGCCGCCAGTCGAGCCCAAGAGCCGAGTATCCTGACCCAAAGGTGCAGGAGCACCTCACGTAACGCTTGGTCCTCTTTCAGCGCACCAGAACTGCCGTAGCCATCAGATGCACGCGACGCAGCAGAATCGCGACGGCAATTTCTTTGTGCGCTTTGAGGGCTCGGGGGGCCCGCTCCCCCGCCCATGGGACCTTCAAGAACGACTGGGCCTGTGGCCTTGTGGGACGCCCATGGGGAAGCTGGCCCTGTGGCCCCTCTTGTGGGCCTCCTGGGGCCATCTTGCAGGCTATGGATCAAAAGGAGGGGGGTCCTAGATTTGCATGCCCATTGTGGGGCCCTCTACATCGTCTCTCGGGGCGGGAGGGTGTCGAGACTCCTGCGGGTACGCGCTACGAGGACATGCGACGGCGCATGTCGCGATTTGTTTCGCAGTGCGGCTCCCCATGAGGTTTGGACCCCTTCCCAGACGCTGACTTTCCATCCCGAGCTCTCTCCCGACCCTCCCAGCGCCTCGGTGAGGGCCCCCAAGAGATTGGAAGCAGCCCGAAACCTCCGTCGCTGTTTTGCCACGGCGCGAGGAGGCCGCAGATGATTCCAGGAAGCTGGTTACGCATAGACCCGGCCAGCCTGGGCGAGAGCTGGATACACACGCGGCCAAGTCCGTCCAGCGATCGGCCCCCTCCCGTGCAGGCCCGGCTCCCGCACGCGGATGCTCCACACGTGATTTCAGCCACGCGCTCCGGTGCTGCCCGAGGTGCCCCCGTCCCGAGGTGCCCCCCCGATTTCCAGGGGGGCCCTTGGGCCTCTATAGATCACCCTTCACGAGGCCCGGAGGGCCCCAGGGGCCCCACCAGGGCGCGAAACGCCAGGAGCACCTGCAACACGCGGTGTGTGTGTGTGTGTGTGTGTGTGTGTGTGTGTGTGTGTGTGTGTGTTCCAGCTTCCCTGACATCCGCCTGCCAGATTTGTCAATCCGTGGCCCCAGAGCTCCTAACCCCTACCTTGGGGGTAGTCCTTTACCCTGGGCTCATGTCTGGTGGCCCTGGGGCGCGACAACCGACCTCAGAGGCCGAAATCAAGGAACAACGGCGGGATTGGCAAAACAAAAACACAAATCGTCGCAGAGCTGGGCTTCGGCTAGCAATGGCGGCGCAGCACAGCCTGGATTCCCCAAGGACGGGCATCTGAGAGGCATTCGGCGTCCAGATAGGCATACGACAAGCATCTTTGAACCGGGACATCTAGGCAGGCATCTGGTGGCATCCTTCCACCAGGGGGCCAGGCACCGAGGCAGGTTCGATCCCCAGCTGGGACAGCCAAGCGTACTGGCCTTCTGAGAGGCCCCCTGTGGCTTCGGAGGCAGGCCCGCCCCTGCCTCCCCCCCTTCGCTGATCGCTGGATACTGGAATCGCCTCGTCGCGAGCGACGAGACCGGTCGCTACCGACTCTGTTGCAAACTCCGGGCTCGGTCGCCACCGTCCTTTCGCGATCGGCCGCGACCAGTCGCGACCGATTTTGGAATCGATCGCGAGCCGTCGCGACCGATTTGGAGCGCCGATAAGTCGCTAACCGATCGCGACCGAAGCAATATGGTGTCCAATGACCTGGGCACCCCTGCTGGCATTCGATCTCCAGCGAAGAACGATTAAGCATAACAATTTCTGGAGGTCCGCGCAGGTTTCGTGGACCGGCCCTGGGCCCCCTTCCCCGGCGCGCGGAGCGCACCAGGGGCTGCGCAGGAGGCGCCGCCAGGGGGTTCCAGCGCAGATCCAAGATCGACAAGACGTAGGAGTGACCTTTCGCAGGAGTGACCTTTGGTGCGGGCACAGATGGGTCCTCAGATGACTGAAAACGAAGCGGCAGCAGCGGCTCGCGCGCCCATGTGTGGTCTCCCCGCGACCCCAAAGAAGCCGCGCACCAAAGGGGCACTCTTGCCAAGGGGGTCACTCTTGCGTGTAGCCGACAAGAGATCCGCGCGAGGTTCCGAACGATTGCGTGTACGCGGCAGGCAGGCGGGCCCAGCGCCAATCCAATGTGATATCTGGGCGCGCCGTCGAAGTCAGCCAAACGAAGAGACCTAACCGCTCCTGCTCCTCCTCCTCCTCCTCCTCCTCCTCCTCCTCCTCCTGCTCCTCCTGCTCCTCCCCCTCCTCCTCCTGCTCCTCCTCCCCCTCCTCCTCCTCCTCCTCCTCCTCCTCCTCGCCCTCCTCCTCTTCCTCCTCCTCCTCCTCCTCCTCCTCCTCCTCCTCCTCCTCCTCCTCCTCCTCGGCGTGGGGGGATGCATCGCGACCCCGAATCGCCCGTTGGTCGCCGAGAGGGGCCCGGTAGCCCCAACCCGCTCGGGCAGGCGAGGTTTCGCTCTCGGGAACGCATCGCCGATCCAGCGACGATGTGTACGACGTATCCCCGATTCCGAGGCGATGCATCCCCCCCAATGTCAGTCCCCCCAGTGTCGTTGCCTTAAGTCGGGCCTGTCCCTCTGCAGGGAGAAAATCCAAAAATAGCCAAAAAATAGTCTGGGGACTATTCTTTGACTATTTTGGGGATCTTTTGATTATTTTTTGACTATTTTTTATTTGTCGTCCAAAATCCCCCTGTAGGGGGACACGCCCGACTCAATCGTTGCCCCTCCCTCCCAGTGCCCGAACACCGGCGTGCTGCTCGTGCTCCCGAGCCTGCGGCAGGCAGCCCCCCCGCCGCCGCCGTCGCCGGCGGCGGGCACCGCGGGGCCGAGGCGGCTCGGAGGTGTCGGAGGCTGCCAGACGGGATCGTTGGTCGATGGCGATGACGATGGCGATCGTCATCGTCGTTATCGTCATCGTCGTCGTCATCGGCTGGTTTCGCTGTGTGGCTCCTCGCTCTCTGTCCCTCTGCTCTTTCGCTGTCGTGCTTGTTGGCCTCTGGTGCAGCCCGCCGCTAGCTCTGACCAGCGGCGGCGGACCAATAAAGTGTGGTTCCTCGCTATCTCATGGGTTCCCAGATGGGTCGTTAGTCGCCTTCGCATTTCGCCTCTTCGCGCACGTGTGTGTAGTGTGCGTGCGTCGCGCGGCAGCCATTGGGGCCCATGCCGGACAGAGGGGGCTAAGAGCTCCCCGACACGCGTCGCATACACTAGACGGCGTCTTGAATCGTGTAACGTAAAAAAAAGCGGCTGAGCGGTCGCAGGAGTTCCACACATTCCTAGCCCTAGCTCGGAGGCGAGCCTGGGGGGGGAAATGAGAAGGAACAGGCCGTTTCAAAAGTCGGCGGGGCTTCTTGGAAGCCCTCCGGCCGTCTGAGTGGTCTTCTGCGTCTTCGGGGAAGGCCTAGCACGCAATTCAGAAGGCAGGAGGCCTCCCGAGCCTTTAGAGAGGGCCCGCACCCTCTCTCTTCCCCCCCAGGCGTGCCGCCAACTAACGGGCCGTTGCGTTGCTCTTTTTCTCTCAACCTGCCTGCTCTTGTTCTTGTTACGCCCCCCTGGGGAGCAGTCGCTGGGGCTGCGCAGGCCCTTTGCTCTAGCGTTGGAGCCGGCTGGGGGTCTGATCGAGGTGGCCCATCACTGGACATGGCGAGCAGGAAGGGGGGGACGAAGTCCGAGGGTCTGGGTTCGGTGATGCTTTCCGCGGAGGCGCAGGAGGAAGAGGAGGAGAGGGAGGAGGAGGACGAGGAGGAGGAGGAGAACGAGGAGGAGGAGGAGGAGGAGGAGAAAGAGGAGGGGGAGGAGGAGCAAGGAGGATGAGGACGACGAGGAGGAGGAGGAGGAGGAGGAGGACGACGAGGAGGAGGAGGATTTTTTTGGGGGGGGGGCCTAGGGGCCGCTTTCGGTTCCTGGGACTGTCACAAGCGGATCCGGGGTGAGCACCAGATGGACCTCGGGAGGAGTCCGGGGACCGATTTTGAGCGGGTCTGGCCTCATCCCCCTTTCTTGACCGATTTCATCGGGGCTTAACCAGCTCAGACCTCCCGGCCGCCTCCGACCCTAAAGGGCGTTTACATTGTTTTTGGTCGCGCTTTGCCTACCCCTTTTCTTGCTGCGCCCACCTAGGGTCTAGTTTGCAAGCCACCGCGCCTAAGTCGGCTTCGAATCATTTTCCATACCATCTGAACGCCGCGAGCCCCGATGCTCGGAGCCTACTCAACGTCAAAAGTCGTCGGGGCTCAAGCAGTGGCGAAGCGTCCTGGCCTAGGTCCACCGCAGAAGAATGTTCTGAGGACTTTTGAGGTTTGCACGAGTTGTGCTTAGAACTTGTTTCGCCGAGGCCGTGTTTTTTTGATTAATCGCTTGCTTGTGTTCTAAGAGCGCTGTTTCTGTTGTTCAAACATTCTTTCGTTTTGAGGACATGTCGTGGGGTCGGTCGGTCGGTCGGTCGGTCTCTGCTCATGGGGCGCACGCAACGCGGGTCAGAGCTGACGGAGGTCAGCAGGTCAGCCGATCCCCACCCCTCATACCCCCACGCCGTGGAGCAGTCGCGACGGAGGGTGCTCAGCAATCTTCTGCCCCTGGGAGCCCTCGCCGGGCCGCGGCGCCATCAGGACACGGCTCGGAATGAGGAGCAGGTCCCCAGGAAGGGGTCCAGACAGGGTGATGGGCTGATTTTCCACCGCCTCTACCATGGGTAGGAGTGGTAGCAGGAGGAGGAGGAGGAGGAGGAGGAGGAGGAGGAGGAGGAGGAGGAGGACGACGACGACGACGAGGACGGGGACGAGGACGAGGACGAGGACGAGGAGGAGGAGGAGGAGGAGGAGGAGGAGTCCTCGCTTCTTCCCAGTCCTACCCATGCTAGAAGTGGTGGAGAAGTGGCCCATCAAGGGGGGCGCCAGGAGCCACGCCGCGACAGAAGTCGCGACGTCGGGCGTCCAGACCTGAGCCCCGTGGGCTGCCCCCGCTCTTCTGGGAGAGCCGCGCGGAGCCGGCCCGCCCTCCCGCCCGACCCAACCCACCCGCATTTTAAGGTCCGCCCGACCGCCCTTACCCGACCCGCCCGCTAAGGTCCGCCCACCCGACCCGAAGCGCCTGGTAGGATTCGCGCGTGTTCGGTCGAGCGCGCCCCATACTTCAATGTTCTGCCCGCCCGACCCGACCCGCCTGTTAGGGTCCGCCCGCCCGACCCGACCCGACCCGCCCGCTAGGGTCCGCCCGCCCGACCCGACCCGCCCGTCAGGGTTCGCGCGTGCTCGGTCGATCGTGCCCCACATTGTAATGTCCAGCCCGACCCGACCTTTCCGCTAGGGGCCGCCCGCCCGACCCGACCCGCGCGTTAGGGTTCGCGCGTGCTCGATCGAGCGCGCCCCACAGTTTAATGTCCCACCCGCCCGACCGGACCCGCCCGTTAGGGTCCGCCCGCCCGACCCGAGCCGACCTGCCCTCCATGGTCCGCCCGCCCGACCCGACCCGCCCGTCAGAGTTCGCCTAAGCTCGGCCGAGCGCGTTCCCCACACCTTAATGTCCCGCCCGCCCGACCCGACCCGCCCGTTAGGGTCCGCCCGCCCGACGCGACCCGACCTGCCCGCGAGGGCCCGCCCGCCCGACCCGACCCGCACGGCGTCGGCAAAAGCAGCGCCGGCGAAACCAGCCGCCGGCGAAAACCAGCCGCCGGCGAAACCAGCCGCCGGCGAAACCAGCCGCCGGCGAAACCAGCGCCGGCGAAACCAGCGCCGGCGAAGCCAGCGTATATGCCCGCCCCTGGCAGGTTCGTGCCCTATACCGTTGGCCGCCCCTCTTGGCCGCCCCAGTGGCGCGACTCTCCTGCCCGGAGCCTGGGCCGCAGCAGCGGCGTCAAGACTTGCACGTCCATGGGCCGCGTCGCCCGCCTGCCGGTGCCTTCTCCGCGGCCGCCCGTATCCTCTCTTGCTATAGACAGAGGCGTGCTCCACGACCCGCCAAGGAGCTTGCCGCAAAGGGCCCCGATGCGCCGCGGGGGATCTCTGCGGCATGTTGCGTGGAGGCGAAAGAAATGTGTGTGTGTATGTGCGTGCGTGCGTGTGTGTGTGTGTGTGTGTGTGTGTGTGTGTGTGTGTGTGTGTGTGTGTGTGTGTGTGTGTGTGTGTGTGTGTGTGTGTGTGTGTGTGTGTGTGTGTGTGTGTGTGTGTGTGTGTGCGTGCGTGCGTGCGTGCGTGCGTGCGTGCGTGCGTGCGTGCGTGCGTGCGTG